AGAAGAAAAAAGGCCACAAACACAAAACTGGCAACCCATATACATAAATGGGACCCTAACAAGGCAAGGCGCATGGGGAGAAGAGAGACAATGGACAAGGGAGGGCTGTCGAGGTTCTGACCACTGGGTGCAAGTTCCTCCTGTCGCGCTATTAATTAATGTGAAATAATAATTGCAAAATGGGGCGTTGCTGCCGGTAGGCCGTGAGTGGACTTGGTCCAGAAGCATTGAGGTCCGTGGAGTCTAGTTCAGTCTGCAGCAGCATTCACAGGGTTTATGCGGCTCTGTTGCACTTACTGTCTGCGCATGGACTATCTTATGGCTTGCCTGTAGATCCCTGCAAATGCCAGTGGCAGCCTTAGAAGAGGCATAATCTGGAACGGCTCTAAGTTAGCCTAACAATCTGTATCAAGTTTGTCTCTCTTTCTCTTCGAGTTTTCTCATGGCCTCTTGAACTGTTCCTCTGCCTGTGTTGCTACATTTTTCCTCTTTCGTCTCCAGGCGCTTTCTTAAAAGCCATCTTGCTCAGATAGTTCACGTCTGTCCGGAGTCTATTCAATTGGAGTATGTTAGGAGGCAGGCTCCTGGAGTGGGTTTGGGAGGCAGTGGCATCCCGTCAACCCCTTCAGGCCCATGGGAGCTGGTGATTGACCTCCTGCCACCACAGACAGAATCCATGGCGCAAACCGAGGGATCTGGAGATGTCGAAGATGGAAGGTCGAGAAGACAAGTGCAGAGTCCCCACAAAAGGCAGGATATTGGATGGATGGAGCAGAACCGGCGCAGGAAAGAGATTTTCCGAATACGGCTGGTCAATATCTTAAACGAGCATGGCGAGGTCAGTCTCTTCTCATTTGCTTACGTGTTGTTTTTTGCATACGGCGGCACTTTGGGTGAGCAACCTCAGCTGCTGGTGAGAGTTCCGTTCAGCTTCGCTGACTGCCTGCATATGTCTGCTCTATAGTCCGGATCTGCTGTCTGCAGTCGGACTGATTGTGTTCGTTCCTAGTGCTCAAAATTCATRAATGCTGGAAAACCATCTCATGGGCAATGCTAGCCATTTTCCGGAAAATTCCGAAATTCACGAAAGGGAGAGTCAGTGTGCCCGGATCCAATGCTTTTTACCACACGTGTTTAGTCGAGGGCTGGGGGGAATAACTGCACTGTGATTATCTGGTCGAATCGAAGTGCATGTGTTGGTCCAGTTTGTTTCAACTGCAAGAAAGCATTGCTTCCTGGGCCTGCTCTATGTGCCTAATCTGATGCAATGCCTACAACACCTTGCTTTTTGATGGAAACACGTTTGCATGTTCTTCTGGATGGGGCTTTTCTTCGTCTTGCGGTGAGAGTTTGTGCACTCGATAGGCATTCTTTACCCCTTTTTGGATAGTGGCAAGTTGCATGAATGGATTTATTTCTTACTTGTCAGTTACAGGGGACGTGTTCAGTTACATGTCTAACGTTTACTTCTCAAACTTGTTTCTCCTATTTTCCAGGATTATGATATTCCTCAGGCACCTCTTCCAAGAGCTCCGCCTTCAAGTACCAACAACACCCCTTCGCGATCAAGACCACAAACTCCCTCTCAGCGGTCTTACCCTTGTACGCCTTCGATATGCAGCCCCCCTTTATGTCCTGCCGAGCCCACGACAACTCCAAGGCCTTTGTCAATATCAGCACAGGGGGACTCAATCGTCGACAACCAGTCCTCTTGTGTAAAGAGCAGTGCGCGGCGCTCATTGTTCAAAATGGGCGATTTGGATTCTTCCTTACCTCGGCTCGCCCAGTCGCGAGGGATGCAAGATTCCTTACCCGTCTCTTCCCTTGCCTATACTTCCTCACCGGCAGGACAGGAGTCTGGTCTCTCCTCTGTGTCGAGGTCATCCCCTTCTCTGCGAGCCTTGTCCCCATCATCTGTGCGGACGAGGTCGCAGTCATTAGTTGAAGCAAATTTAGCTACTTCCACGACCAGTACAGATCTGAGGCCACAACTGCAAAAGCAATATTCCCAAAGTCAGCGCAGAGACCTGGATGCCAGAGCGCCACCAAACTTGGGATACCTTGCGTCATTGGCAGAGGCAGAGCAAAGTGCAGGTGCCAATGCTTGTGCTGTTGGGAGTGGGACTGGGATGATGACCAGAGTCAGGTGCAGGAGGGGCCTTTCATTTGCGTTTGCGAATGTGGCAGGGAATGAAGGCGTGGCGGCTGTGGGTGAAGGGTCGAGTCCTGGGCAAGATTCAGAAAAGCAATCAATGCCGGGGAAGGAAGGGAATGAGTGTTCAGAATGGAAGGTCTCGGAGACCACAGATGTGTCACTGTGGCCCAGTCACAAGATTGCCACGAATGGATCTTCAGAAGTTAGCACCAGGTCTGCAGTGGAGGATTCTCGTTTGACACTATCTCAAAGTGGAAATGAAAGTGATGATGACAGGGCTGCCATCATGCGAAGCTTGCCACGAGCTCTCTTGCAGTCGGTATGTATGTTGATTCTTGGAATTCTCTGCCTCTATTCTACAATACTGCCTTTGCCATGTATCTATAATCTTACGAGTTCTCTGTACATTTGATTTGTGGCTGTGTGTGCATTTGCATGGGTCCTTTCACTGAGCTACTGCAGCTACGATGGCATGATCAATTCAGTGCATGTGAAATATGCATGGGTCCTCATTATTTGTTTATTCCCTACCTGCATCGCTTGGTGAGAACACTAGTTCGATTCGTGTTTTAATAGACACCTTGAATGATTGTTTGGATTTGGTGGATCAGGTTGAAGATAGGAGTCGGCGGATTGCGGAAGATACCAGTGACATAGCAATTAAGCGTCGCAAGCAACGGATGGCCATGAGTGAGCTTCCACGCTTGTTCGACATGGTTCTGAGCATATACAAGTCCGCAAACCGCACAGTCATGTCAAGGGATGACCTCCTCAATCGTCTATGCAAGTGCCACTGCAAGTTGACAAGCAAAGGTAAAATGTTTGCAAAAGATTCTCATCGCCCCTGAGGCCCTCTTCCCTCTATTTAGATCAATCCATGAGCTAACATGTCCACCCTTCCCGAGGACTTGAGGATATGGGAGAATTGCAGCCTGCACGTAATAGAATGCCTAACTTCTGCTCATCTCGAACTACTTCCTCCTTTAAATGAAGGTCGCGTTTGACGAGTGTTTTGCCGTTTTGAGAGAAGTTCATCGCTTGAGATGAAAATTTGAGGACAGGGAACACCCCAAAATATGAGGACAGGGAAAATATGCATTGCGTGTGTCTTAAACCCTAAACCCTTGACCGTGGAACTCTGATTAACCTCTATAATAAGCTATGATTCC